TCAGCAGCTATTTATCAGAGGCAGAAAAAACAGGTGAAGAAATGTTGATTAAAAAATAAAATAGGCACAAGAATAAAAGATGAGGCTATTGCATTCTGAACCAATGTCGCTATGTTAATAGCACGACCTTCCCCTTCCAAATCCCAGCCATAGCCCCTCCAACGGCTATGACACTGAGAGTCTGAGAGAGGGGAGAGTTTGCCACTAACACAACATGGAGGAGAAAGCAAAACAAACCAGCAGCCCTTCCTGCTCCTCTCCCCGACCCCTCTCTCTCCAGCCCCCCAGCGCTGGGCTAAGAGAAGACCTGGCTGTGCTGCTGGGTGACTCGGATAAACGTCGTTCTCCTGCTCAGTTCCTTGAGTTTGGCAGCTCCCACATAGGTGCAGGTGGAGCGCAGTCCCCCAAGGATGTCCAGGATGGTGAGTTCCACGTCCCCTCTGTACGGTACCTCCACAGTTCTGCCCTCCGAAGCCCTGAAGAAGAGATCGGTTACTGCATTTATGTCCAGATGCAAAACACAGTAGTGTGCTTACTGGAGCAATGTGGCGCTTAGTACTCTGCATGCTGCAGCGTACAAATGTTGCCCCAGTTTAATTGCTTGTTTGCCTGTGGCTGCTTGCTGCACTCGAGCACTGAAATGCCTCAACTCCAGTCACCACCAATACTGGGAACTAGAAGCAGACAGATCTTGTAGATGCCCCCATATCCCATGAGTGTATTTAAGATCTGCCCCTTCCTCCCCTCTGCCATCTGCCTACAAGCAAGTGAAGCTTCCAGGTTTATTGAAAGGTAAATTTGACCTTGAGAGTTGCAAGCTTTAAAGTACAAGGAACGGCTGGGCTCAAGCAATTTACAGAAACGTTGGAGCTGGTTCTCAGCAGGCACCACTCAGCACAGCTCTACAGAGGCTTCACAGCCCCTGGGGCTCTGTCCCATGTCACTGACTGGACGCAGATGGAGATGCTCCGGCTGTTTCCTACCAGCCTGATTCTCCAGAGCCCAAGGAGATGGAGTGGGAAACCCGTTACTGAAACCTGCTGCAGAGCTGTCCCCTGAAGCTGAAAGGTGAGCTAGCACAGTTCAGAGCCAGGCAGAAAGGCCAGAAAAAATAGCAGTGCTGTGAATACTGTCAAGTATGGGTACATGCCAGCACAGACTGCGCTGTTCCCAAAAGCATATCTGAAGAGTTACACGATGGAAAGCATCCAGGCAAATAACTTTCACTCCTTCCCCTTCAGCTTTCTCCAGCCTCACGCTCAGCAATTCCTCCTGCAGTGGAGTTCCCCGGTCACCAGCTGATCTCACTGGGCTTTAGAGCGTGCTTGTTCTGCATGGCATGCTAGCTCCTTCGGAGGGGCAGGCCTTAGGAGGGGGGGGGTCTAAGAGAAATGCGGAGGGGAGAGGGGATTGCTCTTCTTCTCCCCTATAAAATGGAGGCAGAAATCATGGCAGGGATCTGTCATTGTTGTAAACGTGGCTTTATTTACTTCTCCCTTAAAGAAGTTGTTTAGGGGATAGTGCAAGAAAGAAAGGGCATGCCTATTTGGAGGCTCCATTTGAAAATCATTAACAAGAGCAACAGCGGCTATGTGGAGGTACTTCAGTGCAAGCCTGGCTATATTTCATTCTGTTAGTTTAAATGTGAGGTCAAAGCCCTAGGGAGACAATAAAGGAGAAGTGTTAATATGCCATGTGAATAAGGAACCATGATTAATCTCCCTGCATCTGATGAGTAATTGACTCTTTCTTGAAACTCTTTAAATAAACACAATAATAAGCGGCCAACTGAAGATGTATGTGCCACTGCCACCTAGCAGACTGCATGGGGCGCAGTGGTGAGTCGTTAGGGCCTGCGCTGCTGGGAGTTCACGGGCTTTTCTTTTCAGCTCCAGCGTCAGCAGGGAGAGAAGGCCTGGCCCACAACACGACACAAAGCAGTCATGCTACCATTCTGCAGCTTGGTTTTTGGCCATGCCCACCTCCTCCAGTCAAAGCTCGGCCTCCGGGGAGGCTCCTGCAAGATTGTGAGAGACAGCGCATGTCTGGGATTTGGGGAAACCAGTGTGAATTTAACCTACCAGATCCTGCTGTCTGAAGAGCTTGGCATGCTGTATTGGGTGAGACATGCAGGCTTCACTGCATTCACGCATGACAGTTCACACATGAGAGTCCAATTAATTTATGCATGAACGCCCCATCAGTTCAAGCATGAGTAGCCTGTTAATTCATGCTTGAGCATCATGTGGGGCATAACTCGCAGGGGTTTGATAGCAGGGAGCTGACTGCAAGGGCAGCCCCAGTTACAGCAGTTAACAGACCTGCAGAGATGGGAACATTGCTCCCGAGAGCGTGAACACTTGGCGGTCCTTTTTTCACAGCAAAATTACAGAAATGTGCGACCCTTACAGCCACTGCCCCTGGGACATTCCCCTGCAGTGGCTGTGGTGGTGTCAGGAAGCTGGAGCTTGTGGGATGCCACTTTTGGCTTTGGAGACCAAAACCAACAGAAGTGGTGAACACCTAATGTCACTGCCCCAAAGCTAGACAGTTGCTACTGCTCTTCTAGGATCAGCTGATAAGCTGGTGGGATCAGGAGTAACCTACAGATACCCTACTGGGGGAAGCCCGCTGGAAGAGAGGTGCGAGATTAGCTCCAAAGAAAATGCTGAGAGTCCAGTTTTATGTTTATCCTTGGAAAAAAGTGTCAAAAAGGGCTGAAAATTCTCCGTGCTCCCACCCTACATGCTGGGAAAAATGGATGTTCCAGAAGGAAGAGTATAGGATGGAAGCAGGACAGAAATCTAGAGCTGTGAGTTAAGCAACTGCAAGTGCAACAGAAAGGCCAGAGCGCTGTTAACGTTGTTACAGCTGTGGAGCAAGCCCCAAGACAGCAAAGCTCTTTGGTGTGCCATCCTGCTCCCCAGATGGGGAAATGGCCACTGTGCTGTATGCAAACACTGTTCACACACACACCCCTCTTTGGATGTAAATGAGCCCTACAGCTACTGAACTCATGACCCTATTGGTACTTTCAACCGTGGTGGTAATTTTTGCCTGGATGGTCTTATCATATGCTTTTATGCTACAGCACAGTGAATAACTTGAACAGCTGTTATGTTCCTGGTTGGTTGGAATTTTAGTACGTGTATGTATACATTGTTGCACTATTAACCACTGTATGTGATGGGTATATAACCAAACTGTGATGTTAACCCCTGTAATACGGTACCCGGGATGGAGGAGTGACATTTATTAAGTATTGATTCCTACTGTCTGGTCCAAAGGGAGGAAGAGTGGAGTTTATAACTGATGTACATTAAGACTGTGATGATGTTGAAAGAGTTGAAAATGGATTAGCATTCCAAGAGTTCTTTGATAATGTGCCTAGCAGAGGTGAGGTGTGCCATATAGACCATAAATTGCTGGGCTTGCTGCATTCTTGTGTGAGTGCCAAATTAGTTCATGTATGAGCACGGAATAAATCCTTGCATGAGTGCCCAATTCATTTATGCATGAATGCCCAATTAATTTTTGCATAAGCATGCAATTAGTTCATGCATGCCCAAATAATTTATGCCCAAGCACCCTGTTATACATGCATGAGTGCCCAACTTGTTAATGCATGAGCACCCAGTTAACTTACATACGAGCACCCAATTGTTACATGTATGGGTGCTGTGTTGGGGGTATATGGTAGAGTTTGGGTAGCAAGGGCTGCTGGCGTGACCTGTGTGGGAGAAGGCCATGATCTGCTTCATGCTAGTCACAAAGACAGTTCCACCTGGCTCTGAAACCGGTGTGAGCCACCAAAACTTCAGCCAGTCAGGGGAGCACGTGACACCCCTGCCCGAGTCTATGTGAGAAACAGCAGCAGCCACTGGGAGAGGAGACACGCTTGGTCACGCCTGAGGAGACATGCAGCTGGAGTTACCCTCCTGAAAGGAGGTGCTCCACGCTGAAGGTGTGTGCTCCCAAAGGGACTGTAGTCCCCAGGTGACCCATGCCAAAGCAGAGACACCTGCAAAGGGCCTGTGGGCGACCCACGATACAGCAGGCACAGTAAGAAGGAGGAGTGGCAGACAGAAACGATTACACACATCACCACGATGTCCTGTGCCACCCCTTTCCTCACTGAAGGAACTGGAGAGACTGAGTGTGACCTGTGGTGAAAGTAAGGGGAGCTGAGAGATGGGAGGGGCGAAGAGAGGTGTCTGGCTTAAGTGCAGTCTGGAAAAGGGGGAAAAAAGCTATTATGTGTTTGTTTAATTACCCAACAGTGATTAGAAGTTTGTGTTAGTTGGCAATAAATGAAACTAAACAAAAAAAAAACCCAAGTGAAGACTGTTTGGCCAGCAACAAATGCCTGTGCACAGGCCACGCATGGATTACAAGGGGCATCACAAAAGCTGGCACACTTGGCAGAGGGCTGCATAAGCAAGTCAGCAGGAGCTGCTGAGGGATTTGCAGCTCTGACATCTCTCCTGGAGTTATGACTTGAAACTAACTCTTTCTCAGAAAAGAAAGATGAAGATGGAGCAATTGGGAGGGACTTCTGACAGCTGGGAAAGGTATGCTCAGATGCTCTCAGCAGCGACTCTGTCCCTCGCTAACCACTGAATGGCAAATAGAAAGGGAGAACTACTTGCTTTAGACTTTTTGCACAGGGTCCAATCTGTGGCGCGCCCTCTAACTCCCAGACAGCTCAAGCCTGCTGCTGGCACGGAGGGATGCGCACGGTGAGTGGGAATCCTGGCAGGGTGGATGAGGTGAAGGTGCTCTGTCTGCCCAGCAAGATGTGGGTGGGGATAAAGGGGTCAGGCTGCCCGGCATGAGGCAACCTTATGAGTGGAGTATGTAAGAAATGGCAGGAACCGGGGGCAGGCCTTCCAGGTTATCATTTGAGATGCAGAAAAAGACAGTAAGTAGTAGCCAGCTGCTGGTGCTATTCTGCCTCTGTGGCCCAAATTGCACCCTACGGTTAGTATAAAGTGCCAAAACTCAGCTTAGTAGCAGCTGTGAATTGCTGAGTGACCACAGTAGAACTGCAGCGTTCACACAAAACCTGTGAAATCTCAAAAGGGTTAACAAAAGCAAATTGGCTCTAACTGAACAATACCGTGGTCTCTGTTCCTGCTTGCTTATTTCTTCTCTCCCATAAAAGAAACTTAATAATTGCCGCTCAGAAATTCCCAGCTCTGATCCATGTTCCTCGTGAAGGAGGTAAAAATAAACCAATATATAAATGACATAAAAGTAATGAAACCAGGTACACAGATTTCATACAAAATTAAATGGGATCCACTTGACATACTCATTACAAAAACAGTTACTCTCACAACTTTACTCCCTGCTACACCCATCTCACCTTTGCTGTCAATTTTAATGTAACTGTTTGCTGGAGGCTCAGGCTCTCCAGCCAAAATGCGTAATTTGGAGAAGATGAAGTTAAGTGACAAGTAGTCTGATTCTACAG